ATCCTCCAGCCACTGCCTTCCCAGACAGCCAGGGTCATGGGCGCCCACTGTCAGACCAGGAAGCCATGGCTGCCCTCCTCCACCTGCATCCTGTCCCAGAGCCTTGCCCACTGTTGTGCCCCCACGCCAGCCTGTGTGGTGTGGTGTCTAAGTGCCACCTAGGGCACTGAAGCCGTTTCTGAAACATCACCAACTTACTCCTGAGGAAGCAATAAGTCTTTCAGACAAGATGACCTAAAATTTAACCTGAATAGACAGTATGGATTAGATTGACAAAGTAAGATTGATAAAATAGGAATAAGGAGGGAAGTGCATTTCCAACAAGTGCTCAAGCTAAGAGATGCAAAAACGTGGTGCATGAAGGAACTTTTAGTACTGCTCTGTGATGGAGCTCAGGGTGAGAGAGGCCCTGGGGAGAAGCCAAGGACACTATCAGAGCATTTATTTTATTTTATTTTATTATTATTAATTTTTGGGGGAGAGGTTTATTTGCTATAAGGCATGTGCACTCGCCAGACAGAGAGATAGAAAGCGAGAAATCACCCCCCGGGGGGATGGCCATGCCGCAATCCCTTCTCCTCCATTCTCTCAGGATCTTGGGCACGCACGCACACACACCCGGCCTGAGTTTCAAGCCGCCGGGTCCGGGATGCAAACTGCGGTCGACTACATGGGAGTCCAGCGACATAGCCATTATGCTAACTGCTGGTCCCACTATCAGAGCATTTTTAACAGTGAGAGATCGTCATGAATTTGTACCATAGGAAGGGATCACTGACTGAGGTCACCCCATAGTGCAGTAACGAAGGGAGCCAGATCCCACACAGCCGCCCATAGTCCTAGTCCTAGCCCTGGGGGTGTGAAAACACAGCAGGTGCACCAGACACATGTGCATGCATGCCCGAACCCTCATGGGAAGGAAGAATGAAGGAAAAGTGATGGTGGCCTGACCATGCTCCATTGAAGGGAGTGCTTCCTTTTTCTTTCTCTCTCTCTCCCTCTCTCTTTCTTCCTCTCTTTCTCTGGTGAATGAACATAATTTCTGAAAATTAAAAAGAAAAGAAAAACTAAAACAATAAATAAATATATCACTGGCCAGAGTGTCCATAATAAATGGGAGGGTGGAAGGAGAGGCAAGAGGAACCCGGAGTCACAGTTACCAATTAGGAGGGCCATGTAGTAATCTCCAGGGAGGATCATTCTGGTCTGAATAAAAGTGATTACACATTGCATAGAAATAAAAGGCTCATGGATGATAGAGAAAAGAGATGAAATTGACACACTTTGATGGCCAGCTATCAGTGGGGTGAGAGAGACATTGGGCATCCCTGAGGATTCTGGTCTAAGTCCCAAGTGAATGGTGTCGCCAAGTGGAAACCACATGCAGGGAAGGGTGAGGGGGAGACCTTCCACCGTGACGTGATGTTTCAGTGGGAAGTGCACTGGAGCTCTTACCACACATTGGTTTCTATGAGCTTGGAGCTCAGGCAGGAAGCTGGGAATGAGTTCTGAGAATCATCAGTACCTTGGTTGTACTTGACTGTTGAAGTCATCTCCTAGGACCTGGAATTTAAGGGAAGGATGAGGAAGGATAAGCTGAGAAGGATCTGGAGACGCACTAGTCAGAGTTGTAAGAGGAAACTCAGGAGTGTAGGTGCCACAGAAGAGGATTACAGACGAAGCTCACTGCCACTGTCACAGAGCTGAGGTAACATATGGGCCGAAGAACAAGTGTGTTCACTGAATATTACGTTAAATCAATTTGGCAAAAATAATTGCAGTAAAGTGTCGAATAGAAACCATACTTCAGTGTGTGGGAGAGCAAACGTGGCAGAGGGGATTGAGGGGCCAAGTATAGAAAACTAAATAAGATATTTTATATGTGTAAGTGAAAAAGATGTAAGTCGGCAGCTGGAGAAAGGTCTGAAGTCAAGAGAAGATTATTTTTTTAAATGATTACTTCTAACGAGATTAAAATCTTAGTGATATCAAAATTTAACTCTAAGATACTCTTTTCCCAAAACTGTTTGTAATGCCTTGTTCTTACAGCTTATTTGTTCATCTCTTTGGGAGAGACAGAGAGAGAGTCATCTCCAAGAGTGTGTTTACACCACAGTCCACCCCCTGCCTCAGCCACTTCAGGTGGTCATAGGCTCAGGTGCGCTTGTCCAGTGTTCACAGGGGCCCCGGGATGCGAACCTGGGACCTTTTCGTGTGGGTCCTCATTGTAAAGCATTGCATTACTGTTGCACCACTGTGGTAAGCCCTGTAATGCCTTGCTTTGCCTGTAGGTGCTGACACAATGTATGAGGCACAGTAGGGAGTAAGGAGAGGAATTTCAGGAAAAACATGTGTTGGAAGATAGAAAGATAGGGAGGAGGCAGGGAAGACACAGAGGAGAGAAAAGGAGACTATAAACAGAATTAGCCTGACCTACTACCATCACGGTGGTAAACTAAGCGACCTGCAAGGCTAGAAGCCACATGGGTGGCAGGAGGTTTCGGATCCCCAGCTGGCCTGTAAATGTGCATGTGCATGCTCACGGTCTCCAGGAACTGGAGGGTGTTTAAAGAGGGCCACCGTGTGATGGGACTCCACTGGGAGCGCTCTCCGTCTCTCCCTCTCTCCCTACCATACTTAACAGAGAACAGAGGGAGACCAACCAACGCAAACCATTGCACAGAGAAGGAATTAGTTTGTTCTAGTTTGCTCATTGCAAATAATAGCAAATACCTGTGTCAGGGTGATTTAAGAGAATACTGCTCCTAATTTGGAGATTCACAGTCCAGGGTACATATCTAGTGAGGGTTTTCCTGCAAAGTCCCAAGGCCAGGCGGGGCCTACCATGGTGAGACGACCTGCGGCCAATCTCCAGGGTGCTCATCTCTCTCTCCCTGTCAGCCCACCAGGAAGCAGTCACGTGGGCCTGGTCAGAGCCCGGATTCACTCCCAAAGGCCCCACCTTTCAACACCACGGAGGATTAAGTCTCCTCTTGAAACCTTCACAGCCAAATTGCAACATGTGAATGTGTGGGGGCAAAAGGGGGTACACGGACACAACATACCTCGAACCAGGGGCTATGATGCCCTGGAATCCGATATGGAGACTATTTCACAAAGGAGGGGTCAGTATTATCAGATGCTAGAGGTGATCACGAGATTTCCGTGTAATAATTCCCGTGATCACAGGAGAAACAGACTGCCAGAGGGAGAGCAAACGCGAGGAGTGCCAAAAGCCATAGGAACCCAGCTCACACCTGACTTCCTCTGAGAAACGGAGCTGAGAAGTCTGTAAGGGACATGCCTCCCTTCTCTCCACGCCTCTACCATGCACTGCGACTACCCTGTAACCGAGGAAGTGTCCTTCCCGGAACTTAGCCCAGAGAAAGACAATCTCTCACTTACAGAAAAAATAAATTAAAAACATCATACATCAATGTTTATAGCAGCTTATCTTATAATAACTAACAATTTCTTAAAAAATAGAAATAATCCACACGTCCTTCAATGGCTAAGTGATGAAATAAACTGCAGTTTATCGATACCATGGACTACAACACACGGATGGACAGAAACGAAGTACTGATACGTGAATCAGCCGGAATGAATCTCCCCAACAACTAGTCTATATGGGAAGAACGATGGCCAACAATATACTATACTCTGATTTCATCTATATAGCTTTCTTGAATTGGGTTATAGATCAAGCCTACTGTTTCCTGGCTTTAAGTTTTAAGCAAAACTCTCAGTATTTCTTTGACTTTGACTTATTAAATCTAGAGCTGCTCTTCTTAAAATTAAAAAAAATATATATATTAAAAATATCTATTTAATGACCATAGTAAGCTATATAGCATCAGCTAGGTGCTACTTTATATTATATTCTACTCAGAGTTTCACGCCTATGGTCAGACATGTATTCACAGATAATGCGTCCATCAGCTGAACTTGCTATTGAAAGTAGTTAGATTACTTAAGAAATGTTGTGAAGCAATAAAATGTGGGGGGAAAAGGAATGGAAAGTGACTGTAGACACCAGAGATAGTGTGGGAGGAGGATGGAAAATGGCAGAGGGTGAGAAATAGGGGGAAAAATATATATATATATATGTGAAACTAGAAATGGAAAATTATTGACAACAACATATACTATTAAGCCAGGATGCAGTATATTTTGGATGGGAAATCACATTTTGCATGCTGTGATAGTGGTCAGTGAATGAATGGAAAATTAATTACTCAATTAAAAATAAAAAATTAATAAAAAAAGAAAGAAAAAATATGTATTTCCCTTCTACTCTGGCAAATGTACTTTGCAAATCACTTGGAAGACTGCATTGAATGTAAAGTTCTAGCCCTTCGCAGTCCCACACTGAGAGCACAGCATACCTTCTTCCTCGTTCCTCCCATGTTCTGTTCCACACTGAGAGAGCCCCCTTGCTCCTTTGAGTAGACACTCCAACCTGTGGACCCAACTGCTGTCCAGGCTCTGGCCTGAGAGTGTGGATACCTGCACGTCAGTGTGCTTCTGGTTCATGGTCTTGGGAAAGAGAACTGTTCAAGTCTGGAAACATAGCACCTTTGGACAGAGCATTGCAGACTCCTGCGTATGGGAAACATGGTCTAGAGGAGGGTAGGGCGGCTTCTGAGTAGACTGGTTTCAGGCTCTGTCGAATACGTCCTAGCACTCTGGATGGGCATGGCTTACAGGGACACAGAGTGAGCAGCACAGTAGGAGTCCCTCTGACACTCCAGTCTAGTCTGCTTTAGGCTGAAGTGTGATACTAGCCTCATTTCAACGAGAATGGGACGTGTCTCTCTCACTGTTCTGCAAACACAGCTCACGTACACGAGGCCCCTGTGTTCCATGCCAGAGCACGCCACGGCTACGCATTCCAGAGAGGATGTAGCTTCTCTGTGAATATCATATTTTACTATCACGTAACACAGTTTCAAACATCCACATTGTATACTGATGTCATTCATTTCTTTTGTTGGTAGATGGACTGGAGGCTTTTACCAGATTTCTTAAAACTGAATTCAGTGACGAAAACATTGAATTTTGGAAAGCCTGTGAAGATTTCAAGAAAAACAAGGACCCTCAAAACATGATGCTGAAAGCAAAAGCAATATATGATACATTTATACAGAACGATGCTCCACAGGAGGTACAGTAAAATTTACAGAAATTTCTAACTGCTTGAAAATATTTGGAGGGGCCAGGAGGGGGCATGGTGCTGAAGGCACTGGATTCCCACAGGGTCGGCCGCAATTTGAGTCCCAGACCTGGTGGCTTGCTTTCTCACTTTCCATCTTTCTCTCTCTGTTTCTCTCTCTAATGAGCACATGAGCCCTATAGTAAATTAAACAGTAGGTACAAATAAAATTGAATAAATAATTCTTAAAAAAAATTTAAAAAATTTGAGAGACTACCTTCACAAATGAGTGTTCCCACACAGTCTACCAGAAAATACAGAATTTGTTGAAGCAAAAATGCTTATTTGTATAGCTCTCTACATCCAAATAGGCACTTTATAAGAAATTACTACAAAAAGATGAGGCAGCAGTGGTTTTCTCTGACTGAAAGCTCAAGATGAGGTAATTGATGCAATTGCTAAAATGGCTGTATAACTAGCAAACATTATTGGACTGTCCTCGTTTATTAAACAGTCTATATTTACATTATGTATCCCATGAGCAGTGATTTTTTTCACTGAATGATGGGAATGGCAGGTAGTCTGTCACTAGTAAGAGTTTTGTTTCACTGCAACTTGGTACGGAGGTTCTAGGAAGTAGTATTGTCCAAAGCCATCACTCCACAAGAAATGGTGATTATTTTCCTTATTTCGGTAAGTTTTCATTTGTTTAGTGTCTCATTGTATTATTCAGTCTTCTCCAAGGCCAACCTTATTCACAGGTTTAAAGTTTAATAAATAGATAAATAAAATACAGACAGCCAATTGCAGAGTATTACTCGGGAGGGAAAAGAAAGGGTGTTCTACCTGAGTACCCACCACCATTGGACGCAGCTGTGCCAGCGGTGTTATAATGAGCACTAAGTAAGTCGAAGAATTTAAAAGACACTCATAGTTTAGGAAATAGTTTCCTATAGGAAAGCGCCGTAACATCATGAACTGAGTATCAGGATAAACAGAAGTGCCATACAGAAATCCCAAACAGGACCAAACTCAGTATTTCCTGTCACTTGAATCATTCAGCCTCTCTGAAGTTTACTTCTTCACTTTGAAAATGAATGGGTTGGGCCAGCAGTTGAGGGTTGTCTCTGGAAAGCCTGGCCCCACCTGGCCAACCATGTTCGAGCCCCTGTCCTGTGGTTTGACAGGAATGCTTGGTACATGTGCACATGTTAGAGGTGGGGGAGAGGGGATTGTGGTGGGCATTATGTTCTTTACGGGGGTGCTCTCATTTTCTCCCTCTCTTTCTGGGAAGCACACACATGCCTTCTGGCTATAAAGGAAGAAAAAATTTTAAATGAAAAATAAAAAGAATATGAATGAGTTAACGTAATGATCTCTTAGATGCTTACTCTTACAATATTTCATAATTAGAATATAGCTAAGCATAAGAAGGGGGCTCTGGGAGAGCGGGCCCAGATGCCATGCCAGCCGGGACCCAGAAGAGGAGAACACGCATGTGTCTGAGTGGGCTATGTCCCTCCGACATCACATCAGTCCTGTCCCGTTTCTCAAAGGCTTTTGCTTGAGTAGATTGGCCATTATTACACTCCTTTTCTGTCTTTCCAGGTGAACCTTGATTTTCACACCAAAGAAGTCATTACTAAGAGCATCACCCAGCCCACCCTGCGGAGTTTCGACGCCGCACAAAGTCGAGTGTACCAGCTCATGGAACAAGACAGTTACACACGTTTTCTGAAGTCTGACATCTATTTAGACTTGATAGAAGGAAGACCTCAGAAGCCATCAAATCTTAGGAGACGATCACGCTCTTTTACCTACAATGAATTCCAAGATGTCAAATCAGATGTGGCAATTTGGTTATAAAGAAAATTACTTCTGCTTCTTTGGATGGTAACATTGTCCATCTGCTTCTAAGATACAGTTTGTTTGTGCTAGGAAATTATTAAATCTAAAAAAAAAAATGCTACAGAAGGATTCTTTAAGTGTAAATCACAACTTTTACCCTAACAAAATACACACTGGATCTGCCAAGATATTCTGTAAAACTTTCCGCTTGACATCATTCCATTCATGGTCCAAAAGACTATCTTTGTTAATTAAAAGGCAGTAAAGAAGCGATCACGATGTTTCATGTGATTGTGAAATTAGGTAAAGGTTAAGCTTTTGCACAATTGTCAAGAGTTTGGTCAAATACATAGGTACTTTTTTTTTTTAACAGAAGTAAATGGCGTGATACTGAGATATTCCTGTGCTCAGACAGCCCATTCCATAATGACCAATTGCCCTTTCAGCCAAAGTGTAGAAATGATGCACTTCTTACAGTACGAGAAGAGGCAGACTTGTTCTTGGGTTAGGAGGCCATCAGTGGTTTGAATGATGAGAGGAAATTCTCTCTGAGGATCATTAAATCTCACATTTGAACTTTCAGAGTTGAGGTAGAGATTAGAAATGAGAGACTCAAGAAGAAGGAGCCTAGGGTCCGGGAGACTTGGGCACCTGCAAGCTGGCTTGTATCTAGACAGTTTTCTCCTATTGACTAGATCCTTACTTGTTACTTTATTATTCCAGGAAGATCAGACTAATATGTACATATGTCGCTATTCTAGGGAAATATTTCATCTTAATAAGGCGTTACATGTTCTGTAAATATCTGTATTTAAAGATGTCATTTTGGTAAATGTTATCCTCTTGGTTAAAATGTATAATATGAAAACTTTAGATTATCTATAGTAATAAATATTTTTAATTTGTTTATTCATATAGTTAAGTTTATCCCACTAGTTAAAGCTCACTACTTATTGATTATACTTCTTATCCTTCTTTTTATCAAGTAAAAAATCAATGTATTTTCTTATTTTAGAATAACAGGATAAAAATATTAATTGTGCTATCATGTCATTAATCTCAACGCTAAATAAATTCTTTATATTGTTGTGAATATAAAAACCAAGTATCATGCATTTTAAAGATCAATTTAGACAGTAATTTTTAAGTTTTAAAAGATTGGTTTGTATTTCCTCTTTTAAAGGCAATCTCTTTTACAGAATTTGATTATTTCATACACAGTTACCCCTTGAGACAAACTTTATGATCTTACCAGAAAATCATGGGACCAGCAGTTAGCGTAATGGCTATGTCACTGGACTCTCACGTAGTCGACCACGGTTCAAATCCTGGACCCGGTGACTTAAACTCACGTCGGGCGCATGTGCGTGCATGCCCAAGATCCCAAGAGGAGAATGAAGGAGAAGGGATTGCAGTGTGGCCTTCCCCCCTGGAGGGGGGAGGTGATCTCTTGCTTTCTATCTCTCTGTCTCTCTCTGTCTTTCTGGCAAGCACACGTGCTCTATAGAAAACCTCTTTAAAAAAATAAATAAATAAAAATTTTAAAAAATGTAAAAAAAGAAAAAAAATTATGGACTGATTTTTAAAAACATTGCTCTAGAATCCATAATACGATACATATTATCTAGCTTTTCTCTCCATAATACTTTTTAAAAGCACCCAGTCTCTTGGTTAAATGACCAAATATCCATGAGACCCTTCCCAGACATACCAGGACTCTTGATCAAGTTAATGTCTGACTTTAAGAAGCTCGTAGTCTAAGAAAAAAACTTGGACAAATGAAAGACACCATGTAAAAATGCCTAGGCAGCACCAGGTGTTAACTGAAGAATGGCAGAAACACACAGAGACTTGACTCAGCCTGAGCATCCGGGCTTCTTACCTCCATGTCTGGTCTTCAGAAACTCATATAATTCCAAGGGCCCTCACCCATCACATTTTATTTTAAAGATAGGAACTCAGGATTTCTTCTTTGTAGTGTTCTTCATGCTCCTACATCCTCCAGTTCTAGAAGATCACCTGATAGTCTCCAAAGTACCTCTTGACTGGTGACCAAGCATGAAAAGCAGCTAAATATGATTAATGAAGGGAAAATTCAGGCAAAAAAAATTAACCTGTGCTGTTGGCCTGAAAGCACAAATTTATAAAAAGTTTACAAATACATGAAAAGAAAGAAGTCATGTAATCAAAGGCTTGATTTCTCCCCCTCTTCATGACTGACTGTATAGTAACAGAATATCTTTACAAGTATTGAAAGATAGAGCTATCAAATTTGATCAACTGGGTTATCCCAAAACACATAGCAATGTCGGTGCTAGGCTTTCTAGTTCTGTACAATAAAAGCTCAACGAAAGTGATGATGGGCTCACATAGAAGCCAATGGAAGCATTAGGGAAGTGTAGTCTTTCTGCAAAGAGTAATGGCTTTCAAATGTGGTATATTTTTATTTGAATCCTAGCTGTTACTTATTAAGAGCACTACATTGGGAAAGTTATTCAAATATTCTGAGGTTCAAGTTTTCATTTGTAAAAGCAAATAAAACTTACAATTTTCTTACAATAACTCAATTTCAAAATATTCAGGGAACCAGCAGGTGGCCTGCTGGTTAAGGTGCTGGATACTCCCACATGGCTGACCATGGTTTGAGTCCTGGACCTGGTGGCTTGCTTTCTCACTTTCCCTCTCTCTCTCTCTGTGTCTCCCTCTGGTCAAGTTAAAAATACATAAATGAATAAATAAAATTTAATATATATATATATTCATAAGGAAATAACTATAGATTAATTGGCTTTAGCATGACGATGGGATTATGGAAATTATTCCCTGGATGTAAGTATCACATTCTAATTATAATATAACTTCTTATAATAATGTCCTGGTTACAAATCAAACAAACATTCTTTAAGAATAATGAGATTTTCTTGTAAAAAATATACAGGGACATCTTTTGCGCTCATCAAATCTTTTAGAAATTTGCACTGTAAAGAAAAGTAAATAATGATATTTTATCTAGATGAAAAACATGAGGTTGCTATCAGCTTGAAATTCTTCTAAAGAAAAGGCTAAAAGAAAGTAACCTTTTAATTATATGCTGTACAGCCTTTATAGGAGGAAATAAAGGACAAAACATATAAAAGATACTTATCTCCTCAAATGTTCAGACTTAGCTATGACTTTAATTAAATGTAAATACATTAAATTTCTTTTTATTTTTATATTAACTATTCTTATATTTATTCCCTTGCTCTTTACTTGACATGTTATAAAAATAAAAGAAAAAAATGCCTTCACAGGCCCAGACACAGTGGCATGAACTGTCACTGTGAGGTGGTTGAAACCAGATGAGAAGCCCAGGGTAGAATCCCAGCCCAACCTCAAGAGGCAGGTGCAGTAGCATCTGTGGTCCTGGACAACTAGGAGGCTGAGGCCTAAAGATCACAAGGTGGTGAGACCTTGTCAAAAATCTCTCTCTCTCTTTCTCTCCCTCTGTTGTTCTCTCCTTCCCTCATCTTCTTTCTCATTAAAAATCAAAATCAAAACAAAAAAAATTCTCAGAAGTTTTAAGTTTATTTGCCTTACTCATGAGAGCACATGTATACATGCACACGGGAGAAAGAGCCAGAGGGACAGGCATCGTGGGCTCGGCCAGGTGACTCCAGCACTGCAGTCCCCAGCGACCGCTTGTGGCCCTAAGGCAGGGCACGCTCACTGACTTAACCACAAGTCTGTTCAGCTGCATCTGCTGAAGCGTTTTTGGTTTTATAGTTTTTAGTTTTGCTATACGGTGCGTGCGCTCACCAGAGAGAGAACGTGAGAAAGCACCCTCTCAGAGGGAGATGGCAACGTCGCGATCTCTTTTCCGCCATTATCTTCTTGGGATTTGGGGCATGCGTATGTATACACACGTCTGGCAAGCTCCTGGGTCTGGGACTTAACGGTGAGGTTGACCATGTGAGGTCTAGGCCTTGACCCCCAGGCCACATGCTGGCCTTTTTTCTTTTAGAATTACTTATTTGGGACCAGCAAGTGGCATGGTGATTAAAGGCGCTGGATTCCCACATGGCCAACTGTGGTTCAAGTCCTGGACCTGATGGCTTGCTTTCTTTACATCTACATTAATTAAATGTAAAAAAAATTAACATATTTACATTTAATTAATGTCATAGCTAAGTCTAAACGTTTGAGGAGATAAATATCTTTTATATGTATCTTTTATATATCTTTTATATGTCCCTCTCTTTCTCTGTCTCTCTCTGATCAAAACTGGAAAATAATAGTAATGATGATAAATAAAATAATTCTTTAAAATAAAATAATTACTTATTTAATTTTATTATTATTATTTTTCATTTGACCAGAGTGAGACAGAGAGAAAGGGAAAGTGAGAAAGAGAGCCGCCAGGTCTGAGACCCGAACCATGGTCAGCTATGTGCGAGTCCAGCACCCTTAACCACCACACCATCTGCTGACCCCACAACAACCCCTTTTTAAACTCAAATGCTTTAGAAAGTCTGCAATAATGATAGCTACGTGTCTCTAATTCCTACAGTAAGTGCCTGACATTGTGTTGAGCGATTTTTTTAAAGAATTATTTCATTTAACTTTATTTATTTATAATTTGACCAAAGAGTGACAAAGTGAGAGAGCAAGAGCGAGAGTGAGAGAGAGAGAGAGAGAAAGTGAAAAAGCAAACCCCCAGATCCGGGACTTGATGTATATAATATATATTGAATCCCCTCTTCTGTAACACATTAATATTTGCTGAATGCATTTATTTGATTGATACTTTTAGTTGCTGGATATTTAGAAGTCAATCTAACAAAAGAGTGAAAGGGAGAGAGAAAGACAAAAACTCTTTCTGGAGCACTCTCTGATAGAGTTTGCCTTCTAAAATATGTAGCTGAAAGCTGTAAATATAAATCACTTTATATTTAATTTAAATAGAAACTTCATCTATGACTGATGCTGTAGATG